GAGGAATGTATGCAATGTGTTAATTATTGAAACTGTCCTACCAATTTGATGTAAAAGTGTCTCATTGCTATTTGTTTATCAATAAACTTATGGAAAAAAATTTAAAAAAACTGTGAGCCAAAATAAACTTCTTTTTTAAGGTTTAAATCTATGTTCATTAGGGCCTGTAGTTCTCTTTTGTTTGGATCTTTCTCTGGTTTGTATCAGGGTGATACTTGCTTCCAGAATAGTTAGGAAGAGTTGCTCTCTGATCAATTTCAATTTCAAAGAGTTTGAGGAGTATTGACATTAATCATTCTCTAACTTTCTTGTAAAATTCGGCTGTGAATCCATCAGGACCTGGGATATTCTATTTATCTCAGGTATTTGTTGTAGTAATGAAAAGCTATGTTCTCCTTCTCATGACCAGATAATCTCCAGAGTATTGTTTTACCAAGTTCTCATCTGCTATGTGGTCACTGCCCAAGTTATTGCTCATGGTGGATCCTGGGGCAAGATCCAGGCTCTGTCTAGGAAGAGGTTGCAAGGCCAAATAAAGACGCTGACACCCCGGCCCCCTCTGCTGCCCCTCACAGCTATAAGAGATTTCCCTCTTAGTTTTAATAAGTAGTGGACCAAAAGTTGTTATTTTCACACCATTCTAAGAAAGGTGTTTCTGTCTTACTGCCCCACTTCCTCAAGAAGTTCCTTTCAGAAATGTAAGGAGCAAGTGCTGTGTCCCTCCACTTAGAGGAGAAAGACCAACCAACCAACCAACCAAAGTAAAGACAGAGAGAATCAAGTGTGTACCCAGTATCACTCTCTACTGGGAATTGGCAAAGCCATGACTATCAACCAGGCTGACATTGCAGGGCTGTGCTCCAAACAAGTAGATATTCTGGCTGCCCATACACTATCTTGACCCAGAAAAGTGGCTCTGAATTTATCTCTGTTGTTACCCAACCTACTCCCACTCTGCTCCATGAGTGCCTCACCAGTAATTCCTACTGTACTGTTACTGAGTTTTCTAACCTCTGAGGACTTGTGTGGTGAGCCTCTTTACTCAAACTCATGAAGATATACATGGAAGTGAAAGAAGTGATTTTTTTAATCTTCTCTAGTACTCCTCTTCTCACTTAAGGAAAAAAATATATATGTGTAGAAGTTGAGGTCAGGTCTGTGTCTCCCTTCCTGGGTTGTGTTGGTTTTCTGGAGAAGGACTGCCCAAAGGGGGAATAACATTGAATCAATATTACCACACCAGTCCCAGGGGAGGAGATACACAGAGAGAGCTGCGAATGACCCAGTTGGCTAACAGTCCAAGAGACAGCCATTCAGAAAGAAAAGGGAAGCACTCTATGCTTTAGGCAACATCTACCAGCAGCTTTTTAGTTTCTTCACTCTCTGCATTTATAGAAAAAAGCCCTCATTTTGACTTTGTTTTTCAGGTACCAAGAAATGAACTCAGGACCCCTGTGCTTGTCAGACAGGCATTTATTCTACTGAGCTATCTCCCCAGCCCCTGCAGTTTTGACTTTGGATTTAACTAGTTTGACGCAATCTCTTGAGTGGAAGAAACGAACAGGAAATTGGAACGTCTCCTGGAAGTTTATGATAGATGTCAGTTTGAACAAAGAAGAGTTCCCACATGAAGTTGGACACTGCAGCTATGCTGGAGTATGAAGTTGCCTTGGAGCTAAGAGCAAAGGTTGGGAGTCTAGCTTCTCAGACTCTCTTTGGCCTCTTTCCTTAAACAGCTTGGCTCTTGCCTCTGCTGCCCCCATGAGTGCAACAGGAAGATGTTAATTTAAGGGTTAGATGTTGCCCCCTTTCTCTTCCCTTGTTGTCACCCCTAGCAAATGAGGTTATGTTGGACTTGGAAGCTCTGGAGGCTACATTGGACTTGGAAGCCAGGCCTCCACTGCATTGCTTTTGAGTAGTGTTTGCTCTTGTCCTTTTCTGGAAACTTGTGAATACAGTTTTGACTCCATAGAAAGCTGTGGGACTATCTATCTATCTATATATATATAATTTATTTTTCATAACTAAAATCAAGTATGTTGCTAATAATACAAGATACACAGAGGAATTGGTGAGAGGGGACTCAAAGTTTATACTTTTTAATGTCCCAAATATTCTTTCAAATGCTACAAGTAGTCAGCAATACTTGAAAGGATAATTTAATAATATAAAATGAATTTAATAGCTTAAGAAACTTAATTTTAAAGATATGAGACTATAAACCAAAGAAATATAAAAATAAAAATTTTTGCATCTGTTTTAAAGACAAAGACATTGTGGTATGGATGGTGTGCATGGCGAAGAGGTGAAATACAGGCCAAATTTATACACAATTCTCTCAAAAGAGATGAAAACATTTTGAAGTACTTCATGCCTTCATAGTTCACATTTACTCACTTGTTTTCATTCGTGGGATCGTATCGTGGAAACGGATCATGATCATTGTCGTTGAAATCATAGCTGGCCTCGGGGTCCTAGGGAAACAACAAGAACAGCACCGTAGCATCATGAAAAAGCAGCATCCTAAGCATTTTCTGTCACTGCCTCTTCCATCCTGGTAGACAGGTCAAAAGCTTGCACTTCTGAGTTTTCAGTCCTGTCACTTGGTCTGAACACTTACTATACCCCAAAAGCAGGTAGTGAAGATGCACCTGGGAAAGCACCACAAAGCAGCCACAGTTTACTGGGCTCAATTGCCTTAATGAGATTAAGTGAGGCTTTGAGAAGTTGAGTGACTTAGCTAAAACTGTGGAGCTAATGACTAACGGCCTCTGACCTTAACTCTTTTGCAACTCTATGTGCAAAGAAGCCGCTATGGGTTGGAGCTCCTCGGGTATGCTAGAAAATGTGATTGAATTAAAGAGTATGCCCTTGAAATTACAGCCAAGCTTCCAGATCCCACTCCATTTGCTGAACAAATTACTACACTCCTAACATCTCCCACATAGTAGTTCTGTCATCACTAATGGAACCTCTAATAATTTTCCTTATTCTGATTTCTAGCCTGTAGTAGTCTTTCTTAGTCTTTCTTTCCCTTCAAGTTTTCTCTACTTTTCAGCTCTGAGTTATGGCCAGGGAATGCTGAGTGTGTAAAAAGTGAGAGAAAGATAAAAGAAAATCTGTATGAAATGCTCACTACCCTGATATAAAGATCTAAGATAAATTGTGGCGTTTATCTTACATTATGAGTTTCATAGACAATTAAGCACAGCTTTCAATCACTTGGGTTACCATTTCTAGTAAACGTTTCCTTTTCCAGTTGGCGTTTTTCCTCTGTGTGGTATTCAATTTGCATAGAAGGAATCATGTTCACATAATTTCACAATGTCAGGGACACTGATTCACGAGAGATGTAAGAAGACTGTCAAAATGACCTCAGATATCAGGCTTCATTTGATTGTTTATTGCCCCAAACACTGAGTGGTTCACAACCCAAATGGTTTTTAATAATTTAATTCATGTGGGTAACCCCTCCCCTACTTTTTTCCAACACTCAATGCATTTTAAAATCCTTAACCTCACTCAGTGTTACCAATGCCAGGCCACATGTACAAAACAAGTTCATATGGGCTGACTGGAGGGCAAGAAAAAAAATAAAGTATTGGCCTACTATGCCAAGGCTGGGCATTGAAGCAGAATCCCTCTTAAAGGGAGGAAAGTTCTGCATATCTACATAGACAGCTCCTTAAGTCACAATCCCAAGACAGCCCAGACTCACATAATTGGCGTAAATGTCTGTGTGGTTCCACTCCAAACCATCATCCAGTACGGTGAGAACAACTCCTTTGCCTGTAATGCCCTTTTGCCAAACAGGTATCACATGAAGATCCAACTTAGGCAAAACTGCAGTCATCCTGGTATCTTGCTGATAAAGAAAGACAAACAAATATTGGTAAAATCATGATTTACTTGCTACATAATGAGGATTCAATCTCAAACATATAGCCCCCTGCCTTTGTCTCATTGGGTCACTGTAGTACTTAAAAGCAGGCAATTAGGTAAAAAGAAAACAAAGTTGAAGATAGGGCAAAATGAATCATAGAGTCCTGCTCTTCTCCCAATTGTCCCCATGGAAAATCACTTGAAAGGATGAATCATTCTAGATCTGTTCTCTTTGAACTACATGGATTAAAAGAAGTTTGTCTCCAAGTTTCTTTCATTCATGATGACAGGCCCAAGCTTTTCATCTATGGAAGCTATACTTGATGCTCTATGTTTTTATCTTCCCCAAAGCCCACAGTCTCCATTGCTGCGTGAAATACTCATTACATCTTCTGATGCACAGTCACTTATAGTCATTTTATAACTTTTCTCCTAGGAGAATAATCAGAACCTGGAATGCTGAGGTGATTGCGGTCTTACCCAGAACTTTGATTCTTCAGGTTTCTGTTTTATTATGCAGTATATTCCACAGAATACAGATGAAAAGTTATGTAGAGTAAGGAAGGTGTGCATAGTTTTCATGCTTTCTGGATACGACACACACTCTGAAAAACCACAACGTACCTGTTCAGATATCCTGGAAGCTTTCTGAAGCCTGCCCTTCTGTGATTTTATGGTGATTCATTGCGTAGCCATAATGGCCGAGGTGTGGAAACACAGAAAGACCTGTCAGTTCGTCTTCGTCCTGGAGGAATTGCAGTCTAACTGTGTATTGCCTTGTATGGAGTGATTCAGGGAGTGTCTGGGAGAGGAGACTGGGGATTTTCCTTTCTGGATAGTTTCTCTGATATAGTTTAAGAGTGGGGGACTGTACAGGAAAAGAGCTGGGCAGCAAGGAAAAACAAATGTAGACACATTTACAAGCATATGGGAGTGATAGTAGAGTACAAGGTACCTAGTGAAGGGGTGAAAGAGAAATTTAAAAGTAACAACAATCAAAACTACCAGTGAATGTACTGTTCCCTGTTGGTATTACTCATCAAAAGGTGGGCAGTGGGCAAGAGTCTACCTAGCCAGTGCGAAGCTGAACTGTAGGAGGTTAAATCCACACATGAATTGTTGGCCAAAGGAGAAGAACAGGTGTTAATTACAGATCAGCTTTAAAGTGTGGATGTTGACACATTCCTATGGGTTTGAACCAACCACAGTGGGTACAAGCATGACTGTCCCATCCAATGATGATTAGATGAGCTAGTTCATAATGAACACTTAGGATAGTGTTTGACACAGAATATATTCAACAAGTGTTAGCTGATAAATGCTGTTGGCTGCAATATGCAAGCAATTATTGCTTAGTTTAGGAAAAGGACAATAAAAATGGATCTTCTTGGATGGGAACAAATCTCTTTGCTCATCGATTATGCAAGGAAACTGTCTAAGCCTTTGCTTATGGTTGTATGATAATTTATCTTCTATTAAATTTTTATTATTTTCTATTAAATTTCTCAAAAACAAATCCTTTTAATGGCATGTGTTACTATTTGAGTCTTAACATTGAAACAGAAACAGGCCAAGAGCAATACTTGCAATTTCTTGAGTAAGCGCCCACATACCAGCAAAGATTTGGTAAATATCTTAAAGATAGCATAGTTCTCAAGTCTAGACATTTGGAAATAGACCTTCTTTGTGAATTTTCCTTTAGCTTTTGTTTGGAGATTATTACCTGTAACACATAGGATTGTCACCTAGGGCTGCATATACCTAATTATGTTTACTATACTCTGAATGATTTAGAAAGTTCTCAAGAATAATTTTTTTAAAAGTGATTTTTTTTTTACCAAGATTGCTGATTTTGGAATTTCTAAACTAGTAACATTCTTTGCACTTATCTCAGACAAGCCTAAGAAGTAAAAGGACACATGACAACAAGTACAACAAACAAACAAATAAGACCTCCTTTCATAAAAGGTAAAGATCTATTTCAGAATCTTTCCCCATCCAAAACAAATGAAAAATCCAAATCAAGAAAGTTCCACCAGTCCTAATCTCTAAGATTACTGTACTCTGCAGAATGAGGAGATAGATTGGTAAAGGAAGAGGGCAGAGAGAGAAATTGAGATAGAGAGAGAAGGACAGGAAGAGGGAGATGAAAAGGGAGGGGAAGAGGAAGAGGGGGAGAGAGAGAGTGAGGGAGAGAGAGAGAGAGAGAGAGAGAGAGAGAGAGAGAGAGAGAGAGAGAGAGAAGACAGCGAGCTGTGCAAACAACATAATGATAGAAGGAAATTTTCCCAGGTCCTATATGGTCCTTTCCAGATACTTACCAAGTACCACTGCTGATTCCACATGGGATCATTGAAGAGATTTAGTGCTGAGTCTCGTAGAACTGAGCGTTTGCTTCTCTTTTTTTCATACTGTTGTTCAGCCCATATTACCTACAAAGATTTCCAACACAAGAAAATCAAAAGCCAGCTAGAACTCTCAATGTCATCATTTCCTTCTTTCTAATGCGAGCACCTTTGCCATCAGAACCAAGGAAGCTCCACAGTGTTTTTGTTTGACCACAGATCAAACTGGCAGCTGAGTGAGGAGAAGGGATTGCCCACTAGAGATGAGCATTTTCTCTATTACAGTAAATGCATCATTAGGGGCGGAGAAGTGGTTAGTGAAGTGATGATTCCCTCAAATTATTTACACTGTGGTTTCAGTGAGGTAAAAAAGTTGAGCCTGCCTCCATTAGAAAATTGGCTGTCATATTCATTTTCATGTGGGAGCCCTAGTGTCCCATAGCTGGAAATTTGTGTGCTTTCATGAAACATGTCAATAAGCTAGGAAACTGGGGAGACTGCTGATACAGTGTTTTTACAGCTTAGTTTCTCTTTCTTTATATGAAAAAAGATAAAAATTTCAAATGTTACACTAGCCAGCAATGGTGCCATGTCTTTGCAAATGCAAAATCATGACGCTTGTGTGATTTAACCTTCTTCTTAAGAATATTTAATATGAGGAACATATCCGAGGTGATGAAGGAGCATTACTGACTGGGCACACGTCATCAATTCTGTCTCATGTATTATGCAAAGAGACCTGACACCATGAAAATTACCTGGCCTACATTTATTTATGCAGTCCTATTAGACTGAAGGCCCTGCGAGAGTGAAGGGCTCCTTTGTGGTTATAACCATTAGGAAACAATGCTATGCTCTTATTTTGTTGGGCAACCTAACTATTTCCTACCCTAAATACAGTTTTATGTTGTTGTATTCTTGATAAAGATGTAGAGCAAGGACAGGGGACACCACTGATGTGAGAATCCCTGGGAGTCATATCCAAAATTAAAAACTGAAAAATAACGTGCAATGAAAGGATCAAAACTATCCACAGGGACTGTCTTGAATTTTCAATTAGAAAATATAAAGCAAGCCTATTATAAACACAGGGAGGAACTTGAGAACTAGCATTAGTCACTATAATGTATTTTTAAAGTGCTTTTACTTCTAAGATTAATTGTTTTGGCTTAAAATACCTCAAGGCTAGGAATACGCTGCCTATCATGTAAGCTGGTCTTTGGAAATAAGCTGCCAGGAACAGGTCTTTGTGGAGAGGGTCACTTAGAATTGGGGATTTCATTAGCAAGCTCATGTGGATAGGCTATGGCTCCATTTCACAGGGCTGATTGGAAAGAATATTATCCCTCATCAAAAAAGAGCAATAAATGAAAATTGAGAGTAATTTTTAAAAAATGGAATAAAAAATAGACACTCTGACATCTGATCAGATAAACATCCAATTGTAGGAAACAGTGCATGATTAATGTCATTAATTCAGAATTGCATACTAATCTGTGGAAGAGCAGACCAAATGGAATAGAGAAAATTGATGATAGCTTCTAATTATGTATAGAATAGGCATCGTGTACTTGACTATAAATAATACTTTTCAGCTGAAAATCACATTAGCCCAACCTTCCACTGAACCTTCAATGACTCCAGGGCTTTTCCTAAAATAAAATTATTTGGGGGCTTAGTTTTCCTATGATCACATAAATCAATTTTTATGAAATAATCTTGAAAAGTAAATGCTTAGCTTTTAAAATAATGGCTTGGGGGTTCCCTCAGAATTGACTACCAAAGAGATAACCAAAGAGTGGAATCAGGCTATCAGTTCATTTTCATGAGATACCTTGTATTTTGTCCATCTTTACTCTGCAGGTGACAAGAAGGTCAGCTACGGTTCCCTTGTGCATTAATATTGGGCACTCATTTAGGCAGAGAAGAAAATATCTCTCCTGCTTTGCCGGGGGGTGCTGGAAGGAGTCTTGCTTTTCAGAGACTGTATGCATACAATAAGCTACTAGCCTTTGTCTGAGTAAAGGAAAAATCCCACCAGATTAAAAAAAATGTTTAAAACAAGTTTCATGGCCTCTGATTTGGTGTCCTATATGTAGACCTGACTGAGCCCCAGGAGTTAGGAATGTGTGCACCAGAGCCATGGGCTCCCTGTCCACACTCCTGACACAGCAAGGTTTGGGGAGGACATCCTAGGCATTTGCCATCCTTCTAATTTGTCTTTTACTTATTTTTAAGGTTCTATTAGTTTTATAACAAATAAAACAGGAAACTATTTCATAGATTTCATCAATTCCTGGGGCTTTCAGCTGTTCTATCACGTTTGGGTCACCTTTCTCCCTGCCCTCTAAGAAGTTGATAGGATGTGTTGTGTTTCTCAGTGTAGTGCTCCAGGGTATCCTAGGCAACAAAAATCGTGTACACAAGTATTACTTCAACCTGGATAAGTGTCTCACAAGATAACATAGTCTTGAGAATATATATGCGGCAATATATGTGAGTTTCAACACTCTTAATGTAGTCAACACTTTCTTTTAATATATTTGCTGACCTTGAATAGACTTCAGAAATCAATGGGCATATTAAATATGTATCCAAATTGTCTCCACTGTGTTTGCCTATGTTCACTGTAGACACTTCCTGCTTTTGTCTAATCATGAATCAGTACACAAACCGGGATGAAAGAGATAAAATGATTTGAATCAAGCAATATAATACTTAGAGAAACATTACCTTAAAAGACATGAATTTAGAGCTTTCTCATAAATGCTACCATATTTCTAGAAGTGTAAATGGTAGAATGCTTTCCAGTTACATTGAAAGGTTCTCAGGAGAAAAGTTATATATTTATTTGGCATCTTATATTGATACTGAAGTGCTTGGTACATAACCAGAATGTAATAAAAGATGACTGAAGCAGGTCTGGGGTCTCATGCCTGTAAATCCCAGCACAGTGGGAGGCTGAGGCAAGAGAATTCCAAGTTCAAGCCTAGCCTGGGTAATTTAGAAACTTAGCAAGACACTGTTTCAAAATTTAAAAAATAAAATAAATGGTTTGGGGATGTAACTTAGTGTGAAGGCTGAATTCTCCAGTATACCCCCACCACACACACACAAAAAGATTATGGGTTTTATTGTCAAAATGTTTCTCAGTGCTACAACCTCCCATTAAATATTCAAAACCAAGCCACTTGTACATACATTTATACTGTATAGTTACTGTACATGGATATGGATTTAACTTTCATTGACAACTATTCAATTCCATCTTGTTATAATATACAAATATAACATATGAAAAATTAGACACATCACAAGTAAACAACAATGATTATAATTTAAAGAGCATCATATTTACAAATTTCTTTTGCTTTTTTTAGATATTGAAGAAAGCAGGCACGACCAGATAGAAGCACAATACTTACACGATCATCATCAGACAATCTTTTAGTTATGTGAGGGGCACTTCTCCGAGACCTTCGGGGGTGGTTTTTATGTTTAAATAAATAGTAATTTTCAAGTGATCCAATCTGAAAAAAAAAAACCAATTAAAATAAAAATCCATTTTCCAAAATGAGTACATATGGACTAGTATGTCAGTAGTTAAAAACCAAGTAATTAGAGACAAGAAATTAATTAAGCCCATTCCTGGCTCCTTGAAGTTAGCTTTTTCTCTTCCTGAGGAAGGCCTTGCTATAGGTTTTAGGCGACCCTCAGGATATTATCCATTTGGGTTTACAGCATTCTTGGAGACTGCTGACACTTCCGTTTTACACATTTCAACAGACTGACTGGGTTACTCTGTGTATGAATAACATATAGTTGGACATTTCTCAAGAAAAACCCACCTAACTGAATGTACGGTGCCAGAAAATATTTTTACAGATCAAGCAAATCTCTGGTACCATCAGTGACCACTACTCCAAGATAAAGTCACTGGTGATATAACCTGCAACCATTAGCTCTACAATGATAACTACTATCAACTGTTATTGATGATTGCTTCATTTTACACTAGTTCAAGGCCTTCAAGAAACAGCATGCTGGGGGAGCAGGGAGATAGCTCAGTAGAATAAGTGCTTGCCTGGCAAGTGCAAGGCCCTGAGTTCAATCCCTGGTTCTGCCAAATAAGAAAGAAAGAAAGAAAGAAAGAAAGAAAGAAAGAAAGAAAGAAAGAAAGAAAGAAAGAAAGAACACACCAAATTTAAGAGGTGCTCCATTTTAAGGTGTGTACACATACATCTCTTAGTAGCTACCCAGTAATTCTGGTACATTTAAAAATATATTTGTTATTTTTTAAGCTAGTTTCTATTTTCACAAAATGATACTAAATTTGAAGTCACCAAGGTTTCTAGATGCCCTGCATTTTTAAAATTAAAGAACCACTTATTTCAAGAGAAGCACATTCTTCTAAATTGAGGGTTCTCATCAATTAGAGAAATTTTAATAGGGATGCTTAGGCTCAGCTCCAAGACTGAACCTACGGTGATGGATCAGCTTCAAGCTCTGTCTGGATTTGGAGAAAGAGCAGAAGCCTAGATAAAGGCCACAAGTGTTCAGCTCTGCTTGTGCTGTCAACTGGTTTTGCTTCTTGTCTCTACCTTACTCTTAGTTTTATCTGGAGACCACATTATTTTAGAACAGTAACACTAAATGGGTATATTTTACCAGTACTAAATAAAAGGGGAAATAAGTAGAACCAGGAAAGCACTATCAGTATTTTACAAAAATTGTAATTTAAAAACTTTTCTTGGTAGTAGCACTCTAAGAATAACTAAAATAAAGATATCACTTGCAAATCATAAGCAAATATAAGTGGCTTCCCCCACTATTTATAAATGATTCTTGCGACGAACCATCCATCACAAAGTTCCTGTCAAGAACAGTGATTTACTGTCTTTCATACTTTTTCAATTTATATTTATTCTCATGGAAAGCAATTTCCACACAGAGTGGTTCAAGATAGGATGTGTGTTTGGGGTTAATGTGTGAGACAAAGAAAATGTAATTTTCACTTTCTCTTTCAGTTTCTTTCTACATGCTTTTCAGTGCTCTCTTGCCTTTAGGTAGTTGCCCAAGGGATACAGGATTAAACCCTCAGCCCTCGCCCCCATAATACATGCAAGATATCCATGGTGATCATAGCATCTACCTATACATTCCCATCTGCTATTCACTTTTATGGTGTCATTCTCCCCCCTTCCCAAGTTCCCCACCCCCAATTCTCAACATTTGTGTGGAGTTACCAGACTTAGTACTAAGCTGTTCGGATCTCCTTGTTTTCCCACAAACTGTAGGCTGTGCCTGGAATGCACCCTCCAATCTCGGCCTGTTTTCCTGGCAACCTCTGACTCTACTTACTAAACCCCTTGCCAATGTTACTCTTTCAAGCACAGTCTCATTCCTCCCAAATTCCCTTCCACTTTCTTTCCTTTGGTGAAGAAATACAGGATTGAGACTTCAAGCACAACTTCTATTGCACAAGTTGCATTCATTTGCAATGGTTTGTATCTAAACTCAGTCTCCTTTAAACGTTGAACTTCTTGCCAGTGTGATTTTTTCTCCTTTGATTCCTCTCCCCTAACACAGAGCCGGCACCAAGCAAAGGGCTGGGCAAACAAAGCAAGAAGTCAGCCAGCTACCAGGCCCTGGAAAGCCGATTTGTGTATTGACTTTCCTGGCTGGCATTTCAAAGACAGTTTGGCTCACAAAGTTGAAGAATGAAGCCTCTAGCGAGAGAAGGCGTATTCCCCAGCGGATTCGATCCATGGAATCGCCAACGCCCACGCGGATTACTCATCCATGACTTCAGCTGCGTCTCAATCACCACCTCCAGAAAAAAACGCGCCAAAATGTTTTACAACTCCCTCCACCCCCGCTGCGAAGCTGACCAACTTTCAAGGCTAGGGATGAGGAATTTGAATCAAGGTACAGGAAAGATCTATATTAGAACACCTTCAGCCCAGGGGTCTTGGAATGGCTGAGCCCAGCCGTCTCCCTCTCCATCCCTTGGGGGGGGGGTGCTCTCTCCAGCGAGCTATTAATCCACCCCAACCTGGACACGCAGCACTTTCCCTCGTACGACGCTGCAACCCCAAGGGAAACGATTACTCACTTAAATGAGCCCCACAAAAGAAATATAATATACCCTTCCCCACAAGTAACAGCCCCTGGAAGGGGCTCTGGCCAATCAAAGTTATGAAGCTTGGACTTTACAAGTGCCCAGTGAAAGCTCGAGACTACCCAGAAAAGCAAAGAGATCCTGCCGCCTCTTTCACCCACCTTGTCTCCCGCCAGCTTCTCTGGCCACTCGGGGCCCCCCAACCTCCGATGCGCACGTCCTGGAGGCTGGCGCTGTTCTAGCACTCCGGGCGCGCCCCCAAACGCTTCGGGCGAACATCGCCAAGCCTGATCGGCCAGGACTTGGATTTGATGCTGCCATATTGAAGGGACCGAAAGGGCCGGCTCCTGACGCAGCCCGCCTGAGTCCCGGGAGACCGAGCGCACTACCACCCCCTGGGGCGCTCGGCTGGTGAGAGCTCCGGTGCATCTCAAGTTCCCTGAACAAGCGGGGAAGAATTTTTCTTCCAAACTGCGCGGGAACAGATTTCAATACTACAGTGGACTACAGGAAGCAGGAGCTCTACTCAGCTGCAGCGGCATCCTTCTGCCTGACTGCGCCCAACCCAAACAGTAAATAATTCAAGCCTCCACCACCACCCCCCTCCTCAAGCGCTCCCGGACGAGAGCTGGAGCAGCTCCTCGCTTTTTGCCACAGTGGGCGCAGCGGAGTGCAACATGGGGCATCCCCTTGGGAGACCGCGCTTCAGTCCCACTGTATCCGTTGAGCCCCAGAAAGTTTCTTGAAAGTAGAAACTCTTACCTGACCCAAGAGGTCGTAGCCCAGCTCCTCCGCGATGGCCGAGGCTGCTTCCGGGCCCCCGGGGACCTCGGCCGCCCATTCATTGACAAACTGCCTCTTGGCTTTTACACTGTTCAGTGCACACCAAGCGCAAAAGAGAGCAAAAGCAGCGCACTGCAGACTCCAGGCTCTCCGCTCCATGGCTCTGACACACTCACACACGAGTGGGAAGGAGCGAAGGAAAAGAAGCAATATAGGAGGGAAGCCAGCAGCCTCGACCTTCCGCCTCCTCGGGCTCTGAATCACCCCTGGCCCCCGGTTGCTCTGGAAGAGCTGGGAGGCGCGCGAGCAGAGGCCGGGCGGGCGGCGACGAGTGTTCTGTGAAGCGCTTCGGTCTCCCGGCTGAGTGGAGCCCCAGCCCTTCCCAACCAGAATGGAAATGAGTGTTTACACGTCAAATCGACGAAAGCCATCTCTTGACGTCAGATCTACCTGGACTAAGATCTGGATGGTATTCCCGGCGGGGTGGAGAAGAGACTAAAATAAGCAGCGAAAGGATTAAGAAAAGGAAGAAACAGTTTGCTAGGATCAGTTCCTTCTGCTCCCTGTCTGTAGCTGGGAGAAACAATCTCACTTCTCAGAGAGAAGTGCCCCATTTGAATATAACCACCAAGAGCCAAAAGCACTCTTTCTCCCTTCCATCCATTTTCTTGGTATTTATTTGTTTTAGTATCCCTTGTGTTTGTGTGTGCTGGGGGGGGGGTGGAAAGCGGGGGTAGAATTCTCATGATATCTTTTTGATGTCAGAACCTTCTAGGAAAACAGTGCTCTAGGATATTTCAAATTGGGCAGAGACTGGAGCAGGTGGGCAAGTCTAGCTCCCCAAAGTCATCTAAGAAAATGAGCCCATTACTCAGACAGTATTAAAGTGATACTTTTTAAAATGAATATTAACCACTCAAATCATCTTAGTTCATAAGTTTCCTGGTATACTATTTCTTAATCTCAAAAAAAATGTCTAAAATTCTACTCTAGACAGTGCAGAGCCCACTACCACCACCATTACAACCTTAGGGAAAAAAGAATAATCCCATGATTTTTAAAAGCAGAAAATTATTTTTAATTAATCAATAAGGCACTCGTGGATCTCAAATGCCATTCTTTAGACTTAAGGAGGAAAATAAAAGATTTTGTTAATCATGAATTTTCCATTTTACTCTCATTAGTGTTGGTCACTTCAACACCATTAATTTTCCATAAAATGCAGTGTATCTTCCTGAAAGTATGTGTTCCCCTGGAAAGGGAACACCTGAACATCTCAGTGAACTCACTCTATCGGAGAGGAATGAGTTCAGTCAAGCTGGGTGGAACCTACTCAGAACTTGAAGGGTGGAACCCCGCGGGAGATACTGCAGTCTCTAATATTCAGCACCGCGGTCTGGACAGCGACATGCGCGCCAACGTGGAAGATGCTGCCCTTCCTTCTGAATACCAAAGAACGCCGTTCTGAAGCTGGCCAGCTCCCAGCTGTTTCCCTTTTGACTCCTGCCTTTCTCCTCGTTTGAGTATCAAAACAGGAAACTGACTGTAGGTTGTGTAGGGTTCAGGTTCCCCACGGCAACTACTTGCACACTGCTCACGGGAACGCTGTGGACTGAATAAACCCAAAAGAGACATTTTAGGGAGTTAAAACTGAGCCAGTGTGTTGCTTCGGAGATTTTTCTCTTTTCTTTAAACTCCCAACCGCCGGGGGGCGCGATCTAGTCTAGAGAAAGAGAAGAGGGAGCAGATGGGAAAGAAGACTTGAGGACAGGAGGGACAAAAGGAAGCCATAGAACTTGTTCAGGAGAAGCCAATGCATCAGGATTCGGTGAAACAGGAGGCTCCAAAGGGCTAGTTCTTCATTTGCTTTCGTGTTTGCAGAAATGAGAATTAGACTGATAGTATCTTTCAACATAAAACATCTTTATTCAAGCAAATGCCTGATTTAATTAGCTGGTACGGTAAGTGCTGTGCAGAAATGTCACTCTCACATGACATGTTGTGCAATCGGCCCGAGTGGACAGCTCTGCTGTCTGTTCTGTAAATCTACGTGTAAATGTGGATGACTGGAGGAGCTGACTTCTTTCTTTTTGTCACGCCTCAGTCAGAGCTGTGACCACAAGCTCTCCAAGGTGTTTCATTTTTACACTAATTGTTCAATAGCAAGGCAAAGAAAACTTGTAGCAAATCTTTAATCATGGTAGATATGGCCAGAACAGGAACGTGTTTGTCCATTTCTTCTTCTTCTTCCACTAGATCAGCTTGACAGTGTATGGGCAATAAGGTCAGCGTCTTATTAATGAAACATTCATCTTAAATGGAGCACCATACAGGCCTGGAATAAATGAAAGTCTCACAAAAGGAAGACAATATTCCTATCCACACAAAAATATTCTCAACGTATTTGAAAATTATATCATTTTTACCCAATTTAACACAACTTCTGAGATGCAGATGAAATGAATTTGGTTCAGGTTGGGATTATAAAAATATTTAGAGTTCATCCTAACTTTTTCATATCAATGGCTACTTCTATCCTCAGGATTCAGGCCCATTGTGGTCATTAAATTTGATTGTGTTAACAAAGTTGGCATGGAGACTAGAAAAATACATGACTGGGGGTATCTGGGAGGGTCATGGAAGCCTGTATTTAGGGATCACACCTGGCCCACCCCTTCCTCTGGCACTATTGCTTTACTCTGCTTCTTGTTCGCCATGAACTAGGCAGCTTTGTCCCACCACACCCTTCTGTCTTGATGGTTATTCCTTAGAGCCAGCCAATTAGACTGAATGAGTGGCCTGAAATTATGAGTCAAACTGAGCCTCTTGTCCTTTAAATTTTGGGTGTGCAGCATTGTGTCCCAGGGATGGAAAAGCTGATGAATACGCCCATGTGCATATTTCACATCATGAGTTAGAAGAGCTATTGTGTCATCATTAAGTTGGTACTAATAGCATTTCTTTTTATTTTAAAGAAAAAATCAAACAATAAAAAGGTACATAATTACAAAAATTGTAGAACAGTAACAATGGTTAGATAGTACATTGCATATTGTTATCTTCAAAGTAGTTGTTCATATTACAAGAGATAGGCATGAAACTTGATTAAATAATGCAGGCATAAACCTTTCTTTTCAATAAGCTAACAGCGGGCTGGTGAGATGGCTCAGTGGTCTAAAGCACCTACTTAGAACAAGCTCAGCAAAGCACAGGGACCGCGGTTCAATCCTCCAGCACCACATGCCAGCCAGCCCCGCCCCCTGGTGGGCTGAGCTGGCCACACACACACACACACACCAAAAAAAAAAAATAATAAACTAACAGCAATTAGTAACAAATTAACTATCTTGCAGATATAAGTACATTAAAATATAATATATAATATTTATTTTTATATGTAGAATATTTTTGAATATTTTGTAATATATCAATATATATTTATACATATTTCCTTTTCTCTTCCTTTTTTTTCCTTTCCACCATTCCAGTTTCTCTTTTCTTTTGAGAATTTCCTTCCTATTCCACAATATCTACTGTACATTTTGGAACTTGGTTGTTCTTTCAATGTCTTACACTAGAAGGACAATAACATGTTTACACATGTGAGACTGGTTTATTTCACTTATGAGTATGGACTCAAGTTGCACCCATTTCCCTATAAATGTCTCAAGTTTACTTTATAGCTGAGTAGTACTCCATTGTCTAAAAATATCACATCTTCCTTATCCTTTCTTTGTTGATGGGCATTTGGGTTGTTTCCAAGTTTTAGCTATTAAAAATCATGGGGCCATAAAGATGGGTACACATATGTCACTCTAGTATGATGTTTTCAGTTCTTCTGGGAAAATACTCAAAAGAGGAATAGCTGGGCCCAAAGGGATTTCTAATGCTAGTTTTTTGAGGAATTTCCAAACTGGTTTCCAAAGTGGTTGTATCAGTCTTCTTTCACACCAATGGTGGAGAAGGTTTCCTCTTTCCCCACAGCCTCTCCAACATTTGCTGTTGCTTGATTTGTTGGTGATAACCATTCTTTCTGGGGTGAGATGGAATATCAGTGTGGTCTAATTTACATCTCTCCAGTGACCGATGATGTTAACCATTTTTTCATATATTTATTTTTCATTTGTATTTCTTCATCTGACAAATGTGCATTCATTTCAGATGTCTATTTTTGGATTAGGTCTTTGAATTTGGAGGGCCTGACTTTTTCTCAGTTCTTTATATGTTCTTGACAGTAGTTCTTTGTCTGAGGACAATTGGATAAAATATTTACTTACTGTGTGTGTTGTCTTTTCAGTCTGGTGATTTCTTTTGATTTGTAATAGTTTTTAATAAGACCAGATTGCAGATGTTGATTCTTTGGAATATTTCCCATGCAGTTTTTCTTTTGTTCATGAAGTCTCTGCCTATAGTATGTCTTCAAGATTTCTAACTACTTTTTCTTCCAGTAGAGTCAGTGTTTCTGTTTTAATATTTAAATCTTTGATCCATTCTGAATTTAATTTACTGCATGGTGATATACAAGGGTCTAGTTTTATTCTTTGGCATGTAGAGAGCCAGGACCATTTATTAAAGAGACTTTCTTCCAGTGAACCTGTTTGGCTCTTTTGTCAAAGTTGAGGTGACTGAGTGTGTTTGTAGTTGTTGCTGCATTTTCTAATATGTTCCACTGGTCCTTGGGTCTGGTTTCTTTTTGCCATTAATGTGCTGATTTTATCACTGTAGCTGTATAGTAAAATTTCAAGCCAAAGATTGTGATGCTTTCCTGCCTTGCCTTTTTTGCCCAGAATTGCTTTTGCCATTCTGAGTCTTCTGTTTCCAAATAAATTTTAGGAAAAAAAAAGAAATATTTTCTAAATATTTCTATTTTAGAAATATTTAGGAATATTTTAGAAGTATTTCTAATATAGAAATATTTTTCAGTATTTAAAATAGAAATATTATAAAATAGAAATATTTTAGAAGCATTTCTAATATAAAAATATTTTGATTGGGGTGACATTATATCCACATAGCAATTTTGGGAGTATGGCCATTTTCATTATGCTGGTTTTTCCTATTGAGGAGCAAGGACCATCCATTTTCTGATATCTTATTCAGTCTCCTTTTTCAGAGTACTGTAATGTTCAATATATAGTTCTTCTACTTCTTTTGTTAGACTGATTCCTAAATATTTTATTTTTTGCTGCTATCATGAAGGGTGTGGTTTCCCTTATTTCTCTCTGTGTGAGTTTGTTGTTTATGTACAAGAATGCTATTAATTTTTGAGTGTTGATTTTGTATCCAGCTGTGTTACTGAATTTGGTTATTAGATCTCAAAGTCTTTTGGTGAAGTGTTTGGGATCTT